TTTTTCTTTGTATGTATCAGCTGGCGTGTCGGGTTCTGCTTCTGTGTTTTGTGTGTGCTTCTTCTGTGTGCATGACTACATTTTCTGCTTCCTTCTCACTGACAAGATTTTGTCTTTTGGCTGTGGTGAAATGTTGTGCGTTTCACCACGGCCTTTTATTATTTTTTTAATTAATGTTTATTCATTTTTTTCTTTATTAACACACACACATGTATATATTTTTTAAATTGAAAAATAAGATTTAAGGAGAAAAATTTAACTCTCAAAAGTTGACTCCCAATATTTTTAAATGATTAGGATAATTTAGAGAGAGATTTTAAAATATTTAAACAAGTTTTTTTTATTTTGTTAAAATTTAATCCTAAAAAGGATTAAATTTTATTTTTGTATTTTAATGAACTAAAAGAAATAAAATCCTCACCAAAAAAGATTATCTAAAATAAAATTAAGTCCTATCAATTAAATTAAATTTTTTATTTTGAAAATATAATTCTAAAAAGGATTAAATTTTATTTTTGTATCGTTATATTTTTTTGATTATTTATTATTTTTTTATTAAATTTAAAAAAATATTCGGACAAAATACAGTATTCACAGCTTCTGTTTGTTTCTATCTCCTTGCAATATGAACAGTATTCATGTTTCGGTTTCAGCATGATGGATCCAAAATAGACTTTTGATGTTTGTGTTTTGGGGCTTTGGCCATATCCTTGAGGCATTCATTGCTTGACCTTTTGTTTTTACCCATCTTGTGAACTCCCTTGTCAATTCGCGGGACACCATCTCAGAAACCCCACCCAATTTCCAGCTTTTGTCCGCACTGTTATACTTTTAGTTTACCACCAATTACACACTCATCACGTTTTAAGTTTTAACCATGTAAATTAATAATTCGGCTGATCAAAGACCAATCATCTACAATTCTCTCTACCAAATACAACTTTATTCATTTTCGTTTAATTCCCGGTATGCAAAACGTGATCAACATTTCATATATTTATACCAAAGAACACGTCTGTACAATTTCATGACCTTCTAATATGGGTACTATTCCACTAGTGTTATGAATATATATAATTACATGCCCCTTGTTTTAGATGAAGGAATTGTAAAACCTAAATACCAAATGTAGTGTAATTGTGATTAATTAGGTAAGGAGGATGGCCCACCGTGAAGGAGATGTGAAGTGGACGAGGAAGTTTCAATTTTCAATTTTGATGACAGGAGGAGGGGGAACCTGACAATATGGATGTCATAATATATAATATAGAAATAATGTGTATGCTTGCAAGCTTGCGGTCACTATAGAGATTTGAGACGCTGTGTTGTAGTTTTCTGTCAGACGGAATACACGGCACCACCTCATCTCCATTATTGGTTACAAGTAAATCAGCGTTCTCGTGTTGAAAACGCAAATCACTCTTGCATTTTGAAACAAGGTATAGTATAACAGACAGATTCAATCAAACGTGTACTCCATGGGTTTGATAAGGTCAATTTCATTGTTTTATGTAGAGCAACTTTATTTCTATTTAAAATCGGGGGAGCAGGGATGACACAACATGTACATTATTGCATGGTTTCGGTGAGGCAGGACAAAATGACATGTATAGTTAATTACATTTTTCATTAATCACATATTATGTGAGCTTCTACATGTCCCACGCCCACGCATCTTTTTGTCTAGTGCCGCAGGCATCCATGTAATCCAGAGAGTGACACTTTGTAACAACCCCCACCCCCAAAATATATATATATATGTGTGTGTGTGTGTGTGTAAAAGGCTACAGATAAATCACGCAGAAGAAAACAACTAGGACATGTCTAAATTTATAAAGTTAGGATATCTCTAAACTCATAAAGTTACAGCATCTATGTGGTAAATCATTAAAAATTTTACATTATGAGTATGACAAACAAGCCAATCTATACATTAACTTCTTTAAACATGTGGTTGAAAACAATCATTGGGTTTGTCATGGGCAAGTTTTTTATTTTCTCCATGGTTTTCAGCAAGCAGATGATTTGTGATAAAATCGTGTTGAGCAGTGTGAGAGTTTTAAAAAAATTAAAGTAGGCATTGATTTTGGTAAAATTGTTAGTCTTGCAAGTTGGCTTGGCTCACAATTATGCCACCAAAATCAGAAATGGAGCCAGCTAAATCCCTCACAGTATCCAGTTCCCATGTTCCTCAACAAGATATTAAAAACAAATAAATAAGCTTCATCTTAGGTTTAATATCAATTTGGACCTTGAATTATAGATTTAGGGGATTTAAACCCTAAACTTTAAAAAGATACATTCTAAACCCTAAATAATTAAATTTGGAGCAATTTGATCTCTACCGTTAACTTTCAACAAACGTCTGTCAAATTCATTTGAAAAAAATTACACTTTAAACCTCAATTTGACAGACGTTTGTTTAGGATTTAAAATGCACATTTTTAAAAGTTTAATATTCAAATCGCTCTTGAACCTATAGTTCATGGTCCAAATTACATATTAACCTTTGATAATATTACAAACTTTTCAGGATATGAAAAGAAGGAATTAAAAAAAGATAAACAATAATGATGACGATGATGATAAAACTATATAAAAAAAGTTGTAAATTGTAATAATGAATAAAGAAATTTTTGGTGGAGATTATGGTAAATAAGAATGAGACGGTGTCCAGTTGACTATTTTTGTTCTTATTGGATGGGGTTTTGATAGGCAATCAATGACAATAATATGAGCAAATATAATCTTTTGTCATAAGTACATTTTCATATTTTTTTTTCCTATTTGTTCTTTTGTGTAATGGAATCTCATAATAATATTGGTGAAAAAAATTATCATTCTTTATTAAAAAAAATCTAAAATAGATTTCTCTTCATACATTTTTTTTTGTCTCTTTATTTATCATAAAAGCATTTGGTTTTGTTTTATAAATTTTTACCTTCATTGATCAATTCAAACTAAAAAACTTACACATTTCTTCAAAATCTTTTTAAAAATTGATGTAATAAACAAAATACACTTTTTTCAATTGCTGTTGAATTATTATTGATTAGAGTACATTTTTTAAATACAAAAAGGTTAACATTTTGACCCTGAACTATAGGTTAAGGGACAATTTAAATTCTAAACTTTTAAAAAGATGCATTCTGAACTTTAAATAATTAAAGTTGGGGCAATTTGACCCTTATCGTTAACTTTCAACAAACTTCTGTCACGTTGGGAGTTAAAGTGTAATTTTTTTTAAATGAATTTAATAGATGTTTGTTAAAAGTTAACAAGAGGGGTTAAATTGCTTTAACTTTAATTTTTTGAAACTCATAATGTACCTTTTTAAAGTTTAGTATTCAAGTCACCTATGGGCCTATAATTCAGGATCTAAATTAATATTTAACCCCTTCATTTTTGTAAACACAGGTTTGATTGCTAAAAAAACTCCATCTTACTCTAGTAAGTTTGGTTGATTGAAAGCATGTTAACTTTAATGCTAAAATATAAAAAACCTTAAATTTCAAAGCAATTATATATGCCCCTTCATATTTAAACATTTAAAATTAATCCCCTTACTTTTAATTTTGTTTTTCAAAATCCTCTAATATTAATTAACTATTATTTTATTAATATAGTTATCATCATGTCATATTAATGTAATACACATGGCATATAATATAAATTTTTTTATTTTTTAATACATTTTAAGGAGGGACAGGATTGTAATGTTTTACTTCTAATATATATGATAATGCTCTCACTTTTTTTAGTTGACCTACATTATTCTTATTGTTCACAATAACATAATTTAAAAGAAAAATTATAATTTTATTATTTTTTATCAATTAAAATAATATTTTATATTAAAAAAATAAAAAAATTTAAAAGTAGTCACTAATAAGAATGATATAAATAAAAATTTATCCTTTAATATAAGAAAACTAGAATATTTTACAAGTTTTTTTAACAAAGTTGATACAAATCACCAATAACAAAAAAAATATCTTATTCTAAAGTAGCACATATTCCTTTTATAACATGCCTATAACATATTTTTATTTAAATAAGTACTGAAAATTTCATTCAAATGAGAAAATAATAACTACAAACAACTAAGAGTCTGAAAAAAAAAACAAAGCAAATAACAAAATTTACATCACATTTATCAATGATAACTTTAAATGTTTTTTCTTTTCATTTGTTTAATATAAAAATAATTTTTTAATTGATAAAAAATAATAAAATTATAATTTCTCTTAAATTGTATTTCCTGTAAACAATAAGAATAATGTTGCTCAACTAAAAAAAAATGATAGCACCATCATGTGTGTTAAAAAATAATAAAAATATTTTTTCTATATCATATGCCATGGTAATAACTATATTAATAAAATAATAGTTAATTAGTGGTAGAGGATTTTGAAAAAAAAAATTAAAGATTAAGTGAGTTAATTTTAAACATTAAAAGGTGACAGAGTTTTGAAAAAAAAAATTTAAATTTTTTTGAGTGTTTTTTTTGTTTGCTTCGGCCATTAGTGTTTATAATATTTTTTTGGTGATTAATAAAATTAATTTTTTGACAAAAAAACTATGTATTACTGTCTTAAAATTTAAAATCTTTTCATATATTTTAACCTAATTTTAAAGCCAAAAAATAGAGGCGCACTTGATTTGATTAGTGGAAAAAGTCAAACCAGCTTATTTGAAGTTTTCAATTTAAGTACTACATTATATAACTGTGTTAAATAAAATGTCAAAAATATCCTTGAATTATAATTATTCCATACAGAGAGTCCAAATTAGCTAGGATGGGAGTTAAACGGGGTGATAATATCCTAAGTTTCTAAAATACTGGACGAATAGAATAAAAAAAAACTTTGAAACATAAAAAAAAATGGGCAGAAAATAAAATGAAGCAGTTAATTCTAAATCTACGGTTTAGGGTTGATCAATCTACAAATTAATTATCAATTAATCCATGAAATGTTTTCAAGGTGAGAGGAGGCAGCGTATATAAACGTCTATATCGGAGAAGATCGTCCTTCCATCTGCACCTCGCTTCATTTCTCTCAGGGCCCCTCTGTCCAATCAAAACCATCCACCGACCGCCAATGGATCCGCCCAGATTCCTCATCCAAGCATCGGAGGCCGCATCCATGGCGGAGTCTGCCGCCATCCCTCTCCCCCACTTCCTCCTCTCCCTCGTCTCCTCCTCTCAGTCCCTCGCTCGTCCCCCCATTTCCAACTTCCCCGTCGCTGCCGTCGGTCTCGGCCCCTCCGGCCGCATCTTCGTGGGCGTCAACCTCGAGTTCCCGGGTCTCCCCCTCCACCACTCCGTTCATGCCGAGCAGTTCCTCCTTACCAACCTCTCCCTCAATGCCGAGCCCCGTCTCGACTACTTCGTCGTTTCTGCTGCCCCTTGCGGCCATTGCCGCCAATTCCTCCAAGAAATTCGCGATGCCCCAAATATCAAACTCCTTATCGCCTCCGATGAAACCCGAGATTTTACCCCTTTAACAAAATTTCTCTCCCACAGATTTGGACCCCATGACCTTCTCCCCGAGGAAGTTCCTCTGCTCTTGGAACCGCGCCACAACGGGTTATCCATGTCGGAGGAAACCACCCACGACCTCGCGAACGGTTACATCGCGAACGAGGAATTGAAGGTTGCGGCGTTAGAAGCTGCAAACAAGTCCCACGCACCGTACAGTGGGTGTCCCTCAGGGGTGGCTCTGATGGACGGCCGCGGCAAGATATACAAAGGGTCTTACATGGAATCGGCGGCTTTTAACCCAAGCATGGGGCCCGTCCAGGCGGCTTTGGTGGCGTTCGTAGCTGGCGGAGGAGGTAAATACGACGAAATCGTGGCAGCGGTGCTTGTTGAGAAGGAGGGAGCGACGGTGAAACAGGAGGGAACGGGAAGGTTGCTGATTGAGTCAATCACGCCGAAGTGCCAATTCAAGGCACTGCTTTGCCGGAACGCTGCTTAACACTCAACAGTCAACACTCACTGCATTTTGTATTAATCCACCTTTTACTTGATAAAAAATAATATTATTTAATTGTTCTATATTTGTCATGTTTAGACTTTAGAAATTACAGTGCAACTGGCATATTATATGTAAAAAGATTATTTTTCTTCCATAAAGCCAATAAAAATAATAAAGGTTGGCTTAACAGTTCTAATTTATTAAAAAAAATACATAATTTATATTAGATGGTAAAAGAATTAACTTATATTTTTAAAACAAAAACAGGAAATGCATCGTTAAATGCATGATTTTGGATGTTTGCGAAAAAAAGATAATAAGTCATATGGGAGATCATGCAATTTCTTAATGTTTTAATGAAAAAGCTCAATCATTTTCCTCATAATTGTCATATATCTTAAAAAACTTTAAGATTAATGTTACAACTTTGGGCAAATATAAAAATAAATATGTTAACAGGATAAAGCTACACTATTTTTATTTATATATCTCTTTCAATATATTCATTTGGACTAAATAAAAATTTTAAAATGTATTAATTTTGTTTTAAAATTGAATATGTTTTTAGTTTTGTTTTTATTAAATACATATATTTTAATAACATATTCTATTAGTCTTAAATTAGGAACTTTTGCATATACAGCCCATATCATAAGACCAAATAAAAAAAAATAATCTATCCTTTTTTAAATTTTAAAAATGTCCTTTTTAATATTTAGTTTATAGTTAATTTGCAAAGTCTATTTTTTTGCAAATACTATAAGTTTTTAAATGCAAGAAATATCTAAAATTGAACGCAATGAATACGAGAGATATTATCTAAAATGACTTCTTTTAAAGATAAATGCAAAAGAGAAGACACAATTGGACGTGAGAGACAAACGCAAGATAGCATAGCAGTGTGAGTATTGAGGTGAGATACATTAACGGTACTCGATGAAACGGAGTACATCGGTGGGGAATGGAACTATAGATTCATAATTTTTTATTTTATTAGTTTAGGTATTTAACTCTTTGTGATAAATTAAGAGTTCAAAATTTTTTTGTGAACTGCGTTTGATCTATTTTGAATAAATGATTATATGTTTTTCGTATTATTAATTTATGATACTACATCATTGATATATTGTTGTATATCATTAATATACTATCGCAAATTAACATAACTAAATAATCAAACATAAACTTATTTCTCATTGGTATATAAATATATATCAATGATGTAGTATCACAAATCAGCAACACGAAAAATACATAATCATTTGCCCAAAATGAATCAAACACAATCAGCAAAAAATTTAATGTTATCAAGAGATGTGAATATCATGAAAATTTAATAACAAATAATAGATTCTAGCCTAATGTTCTAATTCCAAGAATGAAAATTCCTTTTCAATATCTAATGTCATCTTCATAGTGTTCCTGTGAAAAATAGAAAGGAAGAGAGAAAAAAAGCTTTGCGATGAAAAAAGGCACTGATAATTTTATATTCAGAGAAAAAAAGGAATGATTCAAAAAAAAAAGATTCAATCAGTTAAGGATTAGTTACAATAAATATATTGTGTTTTAATAATAAATTTAATTTAAGGACAAAAAAGTAAAATATATCTAGTTGATTTTATGAATGGGCCATATTTTAAAATATTTAAAAATTTCATCTATAATTCATCGGAGCAATATTTTTTAATGCCATTGAGCTAATTTTCTTTGCAAATTATAAGGCAACTTTAAAATTTGTTAGCGTATTTTTTTAAATAAATGGATCATTATAGCTCTATTATGTTATGTGGGACTTTAGTGTCAAAACTCCCCCCTTTTTAATTTTTCAATTTTAATTTATTTTTAAATAAATGATATGGGTTAAAAAGGACAATATTAATACATCACAGTTAACCTATTTTGATTAAGGATTATCTAGTTTGGGTAAAAATAGATCATTTTTACGTGAGTCAATATTTTTTTCAACTCAACTCTTATAATAAGTTATTTGAATCAACCTACATAGTGTAACCCATATTCTCGATTCTAAGAGGGAGAAGTTGACTTAAAAGTAACCGGAATACTAATAGAGGGGGAAAATAATTATGCAGGACCTCACTACGAGGAAGACAAGAAGCATGATTCTGCCCCGAAAAACTTTTGGAGAGGTAGTATATAAACATATTAAGACGTGAATGCATTCCACCAAACAAAAACAGAGTAATTATTATTTGCTTAGGAGTTTTAGTTTTGTTTTAAAATAATTGTCAACGAAATATTTCATAGATGATGAGGAATGAGCTTTGAGAAGAGATGATCGATGCTAACAAGAGGGGTCCTTCAAAACACAGAATGTTGAAGGAAATTAAAAACTGAAGAGTGTGCGAGGGAAATTGAGATCTAGGTGGTAAAAGAAGAGGAAGCAGCGTGTCATAGATGAATCCCTGCTTCATCTTCATCGTCCTCCTCTGTCTCCCTAATCACACTATGAACTGCCGCAATCAATAACCCGACACACACTCCTACTAATACATTCTCTCTCACATTGCTGACATAAATCAGTCCAACCGTCACCATTAACAACAACACCGCTACCAATCTCTCGTCAATCTCATGCCCGAATGCTCTCAAGGGGTTATCTCGCACCCAATATAACACCACCCACGCCGCCATCAATCCTCAATATATGATCACCGAGACTGGGTGCCACAGCAAAGTAAGCAATACTGTCAACAGCATCACAACCACGTAGTTTGTGCGGAAAACGCACGGATTCTTCTTGATTCTTTGGATCGAGTTGAAGAACGAGAACGGGAACGTGAGGCGACAAGGATGGATCATGTCCTTCCATGGTCTTGCCGTGCCCAGGATTGCTTGGATCTGCTCTTTTGTCCGCGAGAGGAACTGTTCGTTCGGTGATGATGACGACGATGCTTCTCCTGGGTCTTCTTCTGAGATCGTTCCGTATCCAGATATACTCATTTTGCTTCGTTTTCAGGGCACGAAGATGAGATCTCTGAGCATGACGTGTTTGACATGTTTTCTGTTTCAAAAACGGAACATTTCACTTGGGGAATATCCGATCCATGAAACCATAACATGTCATTCAACCAGCCCAGCGTACGCGGCTGTTGCGGATCTCATTCCTTTTTTCAGAGGCAGAGAATTCTAAATTTGAATATAATATAGGGCCTTTCCGAGAAAACAGCCAAATAAGGAGGGAGAAGAAAATTGATAACTGAACAAAGCTTCTGTTTATTTTTCAAACAATTTCAGAATTCAGAGCTGCAGGAGGCATTGATTAGTAGCCATGAGACTCAGGCAAAAGTACAGTTATCATATTCTCAGCCCTCCGCTCGGTTTTATTGTGGCCTTTTATACTCTTTTTTTTTAAATATCATTCGGCAACATCGTTGTCAATTTTATAACTTCATCACTATAACTGACAAAAAAACAGAGCAGCGGGCACCACTGAAAAGGGCATTATACGCCTGAGCTTCTCTGGCCTCACTCTTTTTCTGTTAAGAGCATACTCAGTGATCGCAGTAGAATGAAATAAATCCTCACTTGATCTTAAATTAATGGAAAATAGCAAAAACAAGGTATTGCAAATCCCCTGGACCCCGTGACCACCATGAAAACGAGCTGAGCTTTTCATCCCCCACATATTTACGTGTCAAACATAGTAAAATAACTAGCCCTGTAGAAGCAGAATTGATTATTGACATTTTAAGTGTAAAGAATTGATGCAGCTAAGCACCTAAAATTTCATACTTCGGAGAAGTATTAAAGTAATTACAAGTCAGCAATAATTGTTAACATATACTTAGTTAGAATAACTAAATTTGTTAAGTGCGTTAGAGGTTCTGTTGCAGTCACGTGTCTCTCAGTACCTATATATGTACTCTCTTTCTATTAAATGAATAATGAGTAGAGATTAATCGTAGTCATTGTAGTGTGATTTTTTGGTATGGTATCAAAGCCAGACGGCAATCGTCTGTCCTGATAAGCTACCAGTCACCGAAAAATAAAAAAAATCGGAGCCATTAGCAATAGTGATTTCTCCTCCTCTTGGATTTAGATTGCTACGAAATAATGGCGAGTTCATTCTCTGCTTCTGTCTCTATGACTGGACCTGTTCTTGCCTCTAAATCACTTCTAAACACTGTGACAACAAATTGAGGTTTTTCCAATAAGAAGATCACCGTCAAGTTAGATGATCACAATTTTTTGTTATGGAAGCAACATGTTTATCTTATGGTAAAGCAGCATTGTCTGCATTGCTTCCTCGACGGTATAATTCCGATGCCTCCATCTCAAATTCTTGATGAGTCTAGTCGTCTGATTTTGAATCCGGCGCTTGATGACTATGAATCTCTTGATTCTGCCTTAGTGTCTTAGCTACTTGCATCTGTCGCTCTATCCATTTTACCTGAACTAGTTGGTTTAAACACTGCTGCACAGATCTGGAGCAAATTGAACAAGTTATACTCCTCCAAGTCAGACTCTAAGATACTACTCTATCGGAATCAACTTCAAACTCAAAAGAAAGGTGAATTACCTATGCGAGATTACTTAGCTAACATTAAATCTATTTTTGATCATTTAGCAGTTCTTGGTGAGAAGATTGATGAGCCGACACATATCGCTTATATACTTGGTGGTCTTACTACCGAATATGAGTCCATAATTGCTGTAATCAATGCTGCACGACCACGCTTTGGCCTAGATACCGTCTCTTCCATGTTACTTGATTCTGAAGCTCGCCAAAAGGCATTCTTGGCTAATACTGTATCTGCTTAAGCACATTTAACATCTTACTCGCCTGATGTTAATGAAAGCTATGCTCCAGTTGGTGTTTACTATACTCAAGCTCCTGGTGGTGGTCGAGGTTTTCAACCTCTTAACTCTAGAGGTGGTCGTTCTGCTCGAGGACGAGGTCGTCTTCCTTTTATTCGGCCACAGTGCCAAATATGTAGCAAAATTGGACATACGGCTCAACGTTGCTACTACAGGTTTGATACCTCACCTCAGTATAATTCTCACTCATCTACTGCTCTTGATGCTTGAGCTTATCATACTGATTATGGGACCTATGATGGA